AACAAAAACAAAAAACGCGATCAAAAAGTGTATTAAATGTACGTAAAGATACTGTGAGTACAGTTTGCCGAGATGAATCGAGCGAGTTCCAGTAGTAGCAACAAACGAAGACGTGTGAAGGTAGACGCATATGTCTGCCCATAAAAAGATTTCATTTTCCATCTACCCGCTGCTCTTCAGTTTACCCGTGATCATGGTGGTTGAAACACTACCGAAATATCGGGAACTCAGCAAATAAATATAAAACGTGGTAAGATCCCGTGTTTTTTACTAATTATACGTATAATAAACCTTGCTCTTGAGTTGCTCTATCTATTGCAGACAACTGCATTAAAACCCGTTGCAATTGCAATCCGTTGTAATTTAAAAGATATCAGCGAATAGGCAGTGGCGACTAATTTTTTTATACTATGTAAAGACTTAAAACCTACTTGAATTGCTGGTTGATTAAATTTAAAAAAAATACGGTGTGGTAGCTGTTGGCCGTCGAAGCCCATTTTGATTTTTATTATTTTTAAATCTACATTTTTAGAACAGTTCTTTTTATACGTCATATTTTTTGATACATTTCAATTATTCTATTATTGTCTCTTGATAGTTTCGCATCTGCACAATAATATACTATCTAAATATATATAACTCAAAGGTGACTGACATAGTGATCTATCAACGCACAGCCCAAACCACTGGACGGATCGGGCTGAAATTTGGCATGCAGGTACATGTTATGACGTAGGCATCCGCTAAGAAAGGATTTTGATCAATTCTACCCCCAAGGGGATAAAAGTTTGTATGAAACTTTGTCAATTATAAACCCATCGGGCTGAGACTTTGCATTCATAAAGCTACTATGACGTAGGCATCCCCTAAGAAAGGATTTTGATAAACTCCACCCCTAAGGGGATAAAATAGACGATGAAAATTTGTATGAAAGTACTGTAAAGCCGCAAAAACTATACCTAATAATAATACTTATTAACGCGAGCGAAGCCGCAGGCAAAAGCTAGTTATTATATAAACTACGTGTTTTCATAATTTAGACACCTATACAGTCCACCGATCCATTACAGTAGCCTTATTTTGGGGTATAAAGAATAGATTACAACCCATTCTCAAATCTACCGAACGTACATATAAAATATCATTAAAACAGTAAAGCCGTTTTGAAAAACTATAGCAACTAACCCAGAACTTTATTTCTTACAGTGATAAAGATAATCAAAAAACGTTACATTTCTCAACAACCTTAAAAGACGACACTGCAAAAGGTTACAAAAAAAAACTTTCAATTACAGATACCCAAAGCTCTTAAAAAAAAAGTAAACAAAAATAGTCATCAACACAACACGAAGGACGCATCAAAATAGACCGTAGCATCAGTTTATTTCATGTAACGCACGTGCGTATACTGGACCTCAGCCAATTTAACTACGAGTTCCGTAGACAATGGTTTTTTTTATGTAATTAGAAAGAAAGAAGAAAGACAGAAAAATATTTTATTCAGTGCAGTGTAAAAATTATGAGATGAAATGTATAACGTATATGTATAACAACCTAAGTGGTCTCGGACAGTGCGGTTTCAGAGGAGCTACCTCCCGCGTACACTTAGATTGTGGAATGAACTACCTGCCGAGGTTTTCTCGAGAGACTACAGCATGGGGTTTTTCAAGAAGGGTATATTAAGGTTTCTTAAGGGTCGGTAACGCGTATGTGACACCCCTGGTGTTTCAGACGTCCATAGGCTACGGTAACCGTTTACCATCAGATGGACCGTATGCTTGTTTGCCACCTAAGTGTGTGTAAAAAAAAGTATAGCTTACACAACTAGATATGAACTGAAACTAAATATGTGGAACTTTGTTCCACACTGAATATTTGTCTTTTCATTTATAACATACTAGCGACCCGCCCCGACTTCGCACAGGTGCTATGCTGATACTAAATATACCTACCTACTACAGTCCTTATAAACAACGTTTAGAGCTTTTTTGTCATTAGACAGTACAAACATGTTTTGTTTAGCGCCGCCGGCCGGGCCAGTACCGCCGCACCGTTATGTCCCTGCATTTTAAATCTGTAATATCTTCGGAAATATTCATTTAAATTACATGCTGTAAAGGGCCATTTTGATATATATTAAATAGACAATGTTAACGTACTTAATTGGCTGTAATATCTTCGGAAATATTCATTTAAATTACATGCTGTAAAGGGCCATTTTGATATACATTAAATGGACAATGTTAACGTACTTAATTGGCTGTAATATCTTCGGAAATATTCATTTAAATTACATGCTGTAAAGGGCCATTTTGATCTATATTAAATGGATAATGTTAACGTACTTAATTGGCTGTAATATCTTCGGAAATATTCATTTAAATTACATGCTGTAAAGGGCCATTTTGATATATATTAAATGGACAAAGTTAACGTACTTAATTGGCTGTAATATCTTCGGAAATATTCATTTAAATTACATGCTGTAAATGGCCATATTGATCTATATTAAATGGACAATGTTAACGTACTTAATTGTATAAAAATTAATGCTGTATTACTGAAAATCACTTCGTAAATAAGCCATTTTTTCCCGTAAAATGTAAAGGATAACAAATGGTTATTGTGGGTTATCCTTAAGAGATAGACATATACCATCGTGGACTTTTTTGTTGACCTTTTTAAGATGTACAATACTGTACTACATTATTTTGATTTATCTCGTGGGGTTCAGCCAACGTTTGCAATGTAAGCACAAAAAAAAATGTTTATTTCCAACATCGCTCTCCTATCTAAATTTATCAGTGTTTCTATACAATATTATGCATGTATTATATATATAAATCTTCCTCTTGAATCACTCTATCTATTAAAAAAACCGCTTCAAAATCCGTTGCGTAGTTTTAAAGAATTAAGCATACATAGCATTGTTTTATACTATGTAGTGATGACCCGTTAACGTTCTACCGGAGAGTTTATTCCCATAACTAAAGCTTAATTAGTAACTAAATAAATAAATATTTCAAAATCCACTTTAAAGTTTTATCTTTAAAGTCGAGTTTCCAAAAACAATCTATCTTAGTTAATGCATTTTGTAATTTGGTCCAAACGTTGTTAAGGTAAATCCACACGACAGAAATCATCATCTGGTTGATTTATTCTTTTGCACACAAAATTGTATATGTGGCGGACTTAACAAGAGCTTAATTAGTGTAACTAAATGAATAAATATTTCAAAACCGATTTTAAAGATTTATCTTTAAAGTCGAGTTTCCAAAAACAATCTATCTTAGTTAATGCATTTTGTAATTTGGTCCAAACGTTGTTAAGGTAAATCCACACGACAGAAATCATCATCTGGTTGATTTATTCTTTTACACACAAAATTGTATACGTGACTTAATGCCTGATGGCATTCTCTACCAGACATTTGCTATTAATTAAACGAATATATTAAACAAACATATTCAAATATTATTGGGGCCGTTAAAAAACCCATTAGGGGGTGGCAAACAGAATATAGATAGCACAAACCAGGATACTGTTTAGAAAATAATTTCATTTATAAAAAAAAAAGTAAATTAATAAAAAAATTCAATATATCATTATGATAGAAATAGACCTTGTACAAAGTCATTTCCGGGTTCGATTCCTCGCACGGTACAAACAATTGTATTTATGAGTATAATAGTTTGTATTGTCTGAGTGTTTTCATATGTATTAAAATGTATTTATATGACTTGTTCAGTACCCATAATAGAAGCACTGCGTAGCTTGGGACTAGATGGCGCTGTATGATTTGTCCTGAAATATTTTTTTATGTCAGCCACCAAGTAGCTTATTTTGGGATGTGTTACGGTTGTAGGTTGATAACTGGAATGGTAAATAATCTGACGGCCCACCAAATGGTAAGTGGTAACCGTCGCCTTGCATATAGGTGAACAACATCATAACATTGTGTGGCGAGTTACCACTCATGCGTTGCCGTTCCAGATGGCTAAGGTCAGCATCTGTCCCCTGTAAGTCCCCTGGAATACCTGGTAGGGTTATGCCAGTGAAAATTATATAAATGAGATAATGATACCAACGCAGATCACTTTGTACAAACTCTACCTCGATCACGATGATATTTTATTACAATATAGATTGTTAGAAACGGGCATACTGTTCTTATGTTTAAATTTAATTAAATTAGTATAAATTAAAATACACTTTCTCTAAAACAAAATCACATTTCTCGTACAGTTCCATTGCGCTAACATATAACTAAATGTCTAACAACCCACTCATCCGGATGCTATAACTTTGTTCGTGCGTGCAAATTAAATGTATCAACGTAAAAAGACGTAACCGACACCATGCCGCAAGCTGCTACACTAAACATCACACCTCAAATTTATTTGAAGTTGTCTCGAACTGGCATTTAAGACGGAATCAATACTATTCACAATATATCCCTCACTCACTCTTCTATATCCTCAGGAAAACGTGTGTTCACTTAGCACATTTCAGTTCAAATGTATAATCTATTATACATTTGCTTTAATTTTAAAGCAAATGTATAATTTGTCTTAAAGACTGTTATACAAGTTTACATGATATCAAATACAATAAGATGAGTTGGAAATGTTGTAGGTACCAACCTGAAATTCTATAATTAAACTGGACAATTTTCCTAAAGAACATAATCAATAGAAGAAATTTAAATTAACTCGAAACGATCACGTGACTGCGGTTTCTATTAAGTATATAGCATAATATTATATTGTTTCCGGTTGGTATACCCTTCCGATTAACCATCCACAGCTCCTCAAACACATCTAAGCCTTTGACAGCGTCGCTGTTGCTAAATTTAGTGTTGCCATTAAATGGAAATCCAGTTTTCATTAATTGCAGTTTCAGCTACCGGGCCAGATAAATTTGTAGCTGTGTAGTTTTTTTTTATGTAAAGAGTGAGTGAGAGATAGAATGCGAGTGGATCGAGCCCCGGGAGGCAGTACCGCGTCACGCTGCGCCAGTTGACCGACGATCCTTTGCATCGCTTGCTCTGTCTCCGCCAAGCGCGCTCTCAACACTTCCAACTCGATGTCCCCTATACAAGGTTATTGTTTACACTCTGTGTAGTTACTCTTTTATTGCATGGATATTCACTTAGCAGTTTGCAACTGCGTTTTTTTAATTTCGTATTTGGTATTCTTTATATAGATAAATATTGAAGGTTTAGTTACTTAGATTAGCACAATTTTCTCAGAAATATGAAATATTTTGAATAATATATATTTTAGAATAATATTATAATACTGCACGTGGTTCCATAGATAACAAAGTGTTTTTATTTTTAGTGTAAATTGTTACGTATTACGTTATTTTGAAATGAGTGCATATTTATATAAACCACAGATACTTATTAATAGAAATGATTTATCAACCCCATTCTACCTCATACCTCAGCAACCTCCTTTTACTAGATTCGTACTATGAAATGTATATACATATTTAAATTAACTATTTGTATGTGAAAAAGAAAAATAGAGTTTATGTTTGTCCTAACAATTTTTATATTAATATAACAGAATCTTCATCAAATTTCAAAATATAACAAAATCTAAATCGATCTGGCGTCTTAAATTTTGTGGTTAGCAACACTTTTAGCGATTCATTTTTATTTATATAGATTTTCTAAAATTATTATCCACTACGAGCATCAGAAATTTCATTCAGTCATTCGAGGCGGATTCAATACAAACCGCGTCCATTTCTATTGTACAGTTCCAATTTTGAAATCGCGACAACTTTATCAATACTTTTTTTATTATTACAAACTTTTTTATCGCACGCGGAACGGGCACAGAAATAATATCATACGGTTTTGATAACGTTATTACTAGTAGATTGTTTTCCTGTTTTTATAATCAAATCATAAAATATACTTACTTGTGTCCCGTTCTTTAGGGCCTGCATGCAAGAATAAACAAAAACATGATATACTTTTATGGACATTCGGACATTTTAATGGTAAACGGTACTACTTTAAAAAAATTGTAACGTAACCGTTTATCATCAGATGGGCAGAATGGTGGCCTGGCGTTTCAGGCGTCCATAAGATACGGCCTATGGATGCCTGCAAAGCAAGCTGCTAGCGGTAGATTTAGGCCGCAAGTTTTGCTATATCATAGAATTAAGTAATGAGTACTAAAGGTAACTAATTAAAATTATTAATATTATTTACCGTTAACAATTTTTTGTATGTGACTCGACATATGATAACTGTCTGTGCAGTATTGCCAACTTCGTTTCGAGTATTTGAAACAAAATCTGAACGCAAAGACATTTGTCGTTCAGAGATATAAAAATGCGTCTGTAACTAGCCAATTCATAAAAATAATACGGATAAAAGTTTGTAATATATAGGATACGAAGTCGAAGGCAACAGATGGAAGGAATATACGTATATCCTATATCTAACTATACGAAATTCATAAAGCTGATTAAAAATTTCGTGAAAGAAATTTGGACTTTACGACGTCTACATTAAGGTCGAAAATCAATTCGCAAATCCGACGTCTGAAGCGAACATATGAGTGCGTGGAACCAGTACCTAGTTTATCAGGCGAGGTCCTGGAGTCGTCTCGGTTCACTCGTCGCCGGAACGGATTCATGGCATATTCATAAAATCTCTACAAAAATTCGTAAAATTATCCTGATTGGAAATTTCATGACGGAAAATAGGACCTTACAATGTTTAGATTAAAGTCGAAAATCAATTTGCAGAGCCGACATATGCAGAGAATCTTTTTCTGTGGTCTTAATGCACTTGTCCTGGAGTCCTCTCGGAACACTCGAAACCGGAACTAATTCATGGCATATTCTTATGCCACATATCTCTACACAATATTTGAAAAATTTTGTGGAAGAAAATTGGACTTTACGACATTCACGTTAAGGGCGAAAATCAATACGCAAATCCGACGTCTGCATAGAACGTATATGTACGTGGAACCGGTACCTAGTTTATCAGGCGTGGTCCTGGAGTCGTCTCGGAACACCCGCCGCCGGAACTGGGGGTCCGGTGACACTGATTCATATGGCACGGTCGCTGTACGCTTGAACAGTATCTGAAAGTACAGAATAGAATAGAAATTATATTATTTCTATATTTATCCCTTGGGATAGATTTTGTTAAAGCACATTAAACAATAATAACCCTGGGCAATTAAAACATAGCGCTAGCTAGTCCCAAGGTAAGCAGAGATTGTGTTATGGGTACTCAATTGATACAAATACTTTTTTTTGTAAATACATAGAAAATACTCAGACAGATACAAACAATCATACTCAAGAATACAAATATTTGACGGTTGAGAATCCAACCCAAGACCATTGGAAGTAAAGCAGTCTGCTAAACACTACGCAGACCACTTTGTACAGTCTACCTCTGGTATTATCAACGCCCATTAAAGGTATAAACTAAGATTCTTATACTCTATTCTCTTAGGAGATAAAAACCATCACTCCTAAGAATATCCTTGAAGGATTCTTCAGTTCATATAGTGTAGCGAACTTTGATAAAATGCGAGCACAATACATCTATGTAGGACGCAGTGCTATAGGTCTAACCACCTGACAATTGCAAAAACCCCCAATAAAAGAAGGTTCTTGCAAAAAGCAACTTACCTTGCTAAGTGTATAGACGAAGAAGACGATGATGCAAATGGTATAGATCGGCATCACGAAGCCCATCGAAGACTTGGGTGCTGGCACGGGTCCTCCAGGGGAGCCCAACGGCGGGCGCATACCAGGTATCGGAGGAGGCTGCATAGAAACAGTACATCTTACTAATATTATAAACGCTAAAGTTCTAGAGTATGTATGGATGGATGGATGGGATGATTGTTACTCTTTCAGGCAAAAACTACAGAACGGATTTTGATGAAACTTTACAATAATATAGCTTATACATCAGAATAACACATAGACTACATTTTAGAAACATAGTATGTAAATTGGACGAAATACAATGCTAAATGTCAAGTAATGATAAGTGTGATGCAGACAAAGTTGCGTAAGCTAGAAGTTATCATAAATCTCGGCATTTAAAAAAATTGGAGAATATCCTCCTAGTTAAGCGGATAAGCTAGTTATCATAAATATTTTTGGCCATTTTTTTGTAATTTGGCAAAAATCCTCATGGAGATCCGACCGACCGATCCGACCCCTTAAAGGTAGACGGGTACTGTCGGTCTCTTACCAGCTAAAAACTCTAAAGCGTTCCTTTTCTTGACCTTTTGCAAGAGTTACGAAAATGCGGCAACTCGCACGTGACAGCCCTAATGTTTCATAGGCTACGGTAACCGTTTACCATCAGATCATATGCTTGTTTGCCAACGTTGTAGTATTAAAACAACTTCCGCAATCCTAATGATTAACTGGGGGAAAATATCAGGTCCATCATGTGCACCTTTATTTGTAGTTTAATATATTACTAGCTCGGTAGTTCGGTCTATTTCTTCGTCCACGTCACCATGACTGATTCGGACAAAAATTGCAATGTCTATCTTAAATGCTAGATGACAAATATTTTGATTTATAGATAATCTCTCTTTCGCACTATTATAGTACGTGGTAACACTACGGACACTATGTTATCGTGTGCCACCCGCGATACCACTCATGCGTTCTCAGTTCAAAAGACGAGGATGTCGTGCTTCTTATCCTGTAATTTCACTGCCTATTCTGCACCCTACAATCCAAATATAATATATCTTACAAAGCAAGCTGCTTGGCAGCTGAAATAGGTGAGACTGGGGACGCAGACGTCTTACAGTCTAACTCTGATGAACACTCTTTAGCCTCTGGTAAAGACTTTACACACTTAAGTAAAAAATGCCATTCACTAAGTTCATATAAATATGGTTACAAAAGCATCTACAAGAAATCACAAAACTAAGCTCGTTTTGAATGAATTTTAATTAAACAATAGTATAGTTAATGAGACGATCGATCGACACAACGCCGACGGATAGACTGGATTGATTGAGTTTATAAATACTGTCCGCACCATTTACGACATCGCGCTTGATGGTTTCCTGTGTGTGCGATGTGCGTTGCAGACAAACTGACGACTGCGACTTACGACTAATCGATCAGACAAAGGTTTCAAATTGAATATTAGGGCCTTTTTGCAGAATTTAAGAAATTTGTCCAAAAATTGAATATAGAGCCGTACTCTTGGCCGAAATTAAGTTTTATTGTCCAAAAATTTAATATTAGGGCTCTTGGCAGAAATAAAGAAATTCATCATTAAAATTAGTATTGGGGCCTTTTGGTTGCAATAAAGAAATTTGCTATAAAATTTAATATTATGGCGTTTCGAGAGAAATTAAGACATTTGCCAGAAAGTCGAATTTTAGGACTTATGATAGAAATTAAGAAATGTTCCATATAATTGAATATAAGGACTTTTGACAGAAGTTAAGAAATTTGCCCTAAATTGTTATTAGGGCCAATGGTAGAAATTAATAAATTTGCCATAGAACTGAATATTATTAGCGGAAATTCAGAAATTTTCTACAATCTTAATTAAAATTACTTTAAAATTGTAACATATTTAAAATTTGTATGCCCATAAATTGTGGCAATTAAACAGTTACCCATAATATTAGTACCTGGATAATTTAGCATTATCTAACTGTTTTCTGCAAATAAATTTATTTCATTTCTTGTATCTACAATTTAGAAGCGAGTCTACATCGTATCGGTCTCGTTAGGTAACCTTCATTGCGTCCAGTGCTGTTTTCATACAGAACTGCGTAATTCGCCAAAACTTGACGTTTATCAAAATATGATGGTATTTTTATGACGCTTTGAATCGGATGCGATAAACTATTTTTGCATTGTTAGTATACAAATATGATTGGCGACAGAAAAACAAACGCAGCTACGAATGACCTCTGTGGACCATAGACTATAGAACAGAATATTTTTTGTACGAATCTGTGTAACAATTTTCGGCATTTTTGTAGGGTTGCATCAATTATACAAAATTTTTTTGGATGCATTACAGGTTGTTACATAGATAAAACGTAGTGTTAATTACTGTATTCTAATTGTACGAACAAACACTAAAATCATTTATTTTACAGATTCATAAGAAAAATAAGTAATTAATTTGTGTTTCAAATGTTTTCTATTTTCAAATACTTCTATTTGGAAGAAGTGTTATTAAAATTAAAGTGATCAAACAGTCTAAACCAGTGAATCCCAAAGTGGTCTATATAGACCCCTGGGGGACAAACTGCAAGGGGTCTACGACATAAAAAAGTTTGGGAACCTCTGGTCTAAACACTAGAACGTATAAGATTTCTAATATAAGTATACTATATATACGTATAGATGATTTACATGAACACCATTTGTTCGTGTTTCAGTTTTACTATTTTCAAATACTCCTAATTCGAATAAGATGCAAAACAGTGTTCTTTTTATAAATCTTTCAATCATCTTTTATTTATTAATACCAGTCTAAAGGACAGGCCATCAAAGATTTTTAATATACGGAGCTTGGCGAAACTGTTGTCACCCGAGAGAATGAAAAAGTTTTCTCAATTATGCATACGTATAGCTTATTTTAAATCAGTTCCATTTTCAAATACTTCTTTGTATAAATTTTCGGCCTCGTTTTTTATCTAAATACCTTTTTTTTTTATTAAGTATTTTGACGGCCCTGGAAACTTCTAAACACCAATTAGAATCATGAAGGTGACTGATTTCCAATATACATAATACAAGTATATAATACGTGTCTATTTGCGTGAGTTATATTATCTCACTTCTTTCGACTCATCGCACAAGTCTAAAGCACCCTGAACTGCTGTTGATTTTATATCATAAGATTCTGTAATAGACCTACATGAATAATTTTTTTTTATTATTGTTCGTCGGTGTGTCTTACGAGGAAAAATGTTAGGACACTTGATACGGCACGATGATTTCATGAAAATTATTATTGAGGAGAAAATAGAAGAAAAAGATGGGGAGGGGAAGACCAAGGAATAGCTACGTCAAACGAATTGAGGACAAAATGGGAGTCGTGTAGTATCAAGAATTAAAGAGCATGATGGAAGATCGCGGAAAGTGGCAAGAGCTCCACCGACAAGAGCGTGGCTCTTAAATTATGAATGAATGATGGTGTGTCTTTTGTAGAACAAAATCTTATATAACTCGTTGAGGATAGCTGTGCATATATATATATATATATATATATATATATAGTTATATTTATTTAGAATTATTAGATAATAAAATTAATAGTATTATTTGATATATTTGAATAATATTGATCTTTAGGTGTCACCTAACGAAAATAAATGTTACGTATCTACCTATATTTGACATATAATATAATTATTAAATGTAAATTTAATAATTCTATTTTATAATTTGTATATTACCAAAACAATAGCGAAATATGTGGACAATTTTATTAATACTGACATTCTTTTAATATTTATATCACATTTCATGCAAATAAATACATTTCATGTCATACATGTATGTATGTGTGTTAATAATGGTTTCCTTTCTTTATTCAGAGCATTTCTAAGTGAATTGGTGATAATACAAGGTGCAGTTAACTCGTACAACTGTTGACCGTCACAAAATATCTGGTAATTTACATAACTGAGACGCAGGTACGTACTCGCTTTATATGTGAAGAAAAATGCAAATTGATTCTACGTGATGTGCTGTTTAGACAAACATTTTTCAGTATAAACTAGTAACGGCCAGTCTATATGCTGGGTGGGGGAAATATTTTGTTAGTAATGTAAATAGAATAGAATAGAATAGAATAGAAAATCATTTATTCAAATAAACTTAATTTAAGCACTTTTGAATAGTCAACATTTTTTTTAATCTACCGCTTATTCGGAAAGCTGTCTGTGGTCTAATAAGCCCATTGCTAGCAATGTACCAAATCAGGTTGACCTTCATAAGGTTCTCTCCGCGGTGGTAAATTCCTGGTGAATTTACCACTATGGGCTAACTGACCTGACTTCGTGTTCATCCTATCATCCTCCACTGGTGCCCCGCGTGCGTAAACCGTTAGCGCAGGCTGGAGCACCACCATTATCATTCATAAGAAAAAAATATGCTGGGTAGAAACTAGTTTGCTTGTAGGAACTGGCCTGCTCTGATAAATATGGTTACTCAAGTAACTATTATATTTATGTATTTACTTCAGTCATTCTTGCTATTTGACGACCTCGGTGGTCTAGCGGTTTAACACCGCTTTAATTCCGACGGTCGCTGGTTCGATTCCTTGCAAGGTACAAACATCGCCATTTAGTCCCACGGTAAGCAGAGCTTGTGTTATGGATACTAGACAACTGATGAATACTTAGATATTTTTTGTAAATACATACATAATATATACAGAAAACAGCCAGACTGATACAAACAATCATACTCATAAGAACAAATTTTTGTAACGTGTCAGGAATCGAACCCGCGACCGTCGGAAGTAAAGCGGTGTGTTAAACCGCTAGACCACTGAGGCCGTCAAACTATTGCTGGGTAGAAACTAGTTTGCTTGTAGGGACTGGTCTGTTCTGATAACTATAGTTAATCAAGTAGCTATTACATTTATTTATTTCTGTCATGTTGTTATTTGTTATTTGACGACTTTGGTGGTCGGTTTAGCATACCGCTTAAATTCTGATGGTCGCGGATTCGATTCCTTGCACAGTACTAACATTTATATTTATGAGTATGACTATTTATATCAGTTGTCTAGTACCCATAACACAAGCTCT